AGGACCCATGCCACCCGCACGCTTCCACCAGGACCCATGCCACTCACACTCTTCCACCAGGGCCCATACCACTCACACGCTTCCACCAGGACCCATACCACTCACACGCTTCCACCAAGGCCCATGCCACTCACACGCTTCCACCAGGGCCCATACCACTCACACGCTTCCACCAGGACCCATACCACTCACACATTCCACCAGGATCCATACCACTCACACACTTCCACCAGGGCCCATACCACTCACACACTTCCACCAAGACCCATGCCACCCACACACTTCCACCAGGGCCCATACCACTCACACACTTCCACCAGGACCCATGCCACCCACACACTTCCACCAGGACCCATATCACTCACACACTTCCACCAGGGCCCATACCACTCACACACTTCCACCAGGACCCATGCCACCCACACACTTCCACCAGGGCCCATCCCACTCACACGCTTCCACCAGGAAACATACCACTCACACGCTTCCACCAGGACCCATGCCACCCATACACTTCCACCAGGACCCATGCCACTCACACGCTTCCACCAGGGCCCATACCACTCACACGCTTCCACCAGGACCCATGCCACCCACACACTTCCACCAGGACCCATACCACCCACACACTTCCACCAGGACCCATGCCACTTACACACTTCCACCAGGGCCCATACCACTCACACGCTTCCACCAGGACCCATGCCACTCACACACTTCCAGCAGGGCCCATACCACTCACACGCTTCCACCAGGACCCATACCACTCACACGCTTCCACCAAGGCCCATGCCACTCACACGCTTCCACCAGGGCCCATACCACTCACACGCTTCCACCAGGACCCATACCACTCACACGCTTCCTCCAGGACCCATACCACTCACACACTTCCACCAAGACCCATGCCACCCACACACTTCCACCAGGACCCATGCCACTCACACACTTCCAGCAGGGCCCATACCACTCACACGCTTCCACCAGGACCCATACCACTCACACGCTTCCACCAAGGCCCATGCCACTCACACGCTTCCACCAGGGCCCATACCACTCACACGCTTCCACCAGGACCCATACCACTCACACGCTTCCACCAGGACCCATACCACTCACACACTTCCACCAGGACCCATGCCACCCACACACTTCCACCAGGGCCCATACCACTCACTCGCTTCCACCAGGACACATACCACTCACACGCTTCCACCAGGACCAATGCCACCCATACACTTCCACCAGGACCCATGCCACTCACACGCTTCCACCAGGGCCCATACCACTCACACGCTTCCACCAGGACCCATGCCACCCACACACTTCCACCAGGACCCATACCACCCACACACTTCCACCAGGACCCATGCCACTTACACACTTCCACCAGGGCCCATACCACTCACACGCTTCCACCAGGATCCATGCCACTCACACACTTCCAGCAGGGCCCATACCACTCACACGCTTCCACCAGGACCCATACCACTCACACGCTTCCACCAAGGCCCATGCCACTCACACGCTTCCACCAGGGCCCATACCACTCACACGCTTCCACCAGGACCCATACCACTCACACGCTTCCACCAGGACCCATACCACTCACACACTTCCATCAAGACCCATGCCACCCACACACTTCCACCAGGGCCCATACCACTCACACACTTCCACCAGGACCCATGCCACCCACACACTTCCACCAGGACCCATATCACTCACACACTTCCACCAGGGCCCATACCACTCACACACTTCCACCAGGACCCATGCCACCCACACACTTCCACCAGGGCCCATACCACTCACACACTTCCACCAGGACCCATACCACTCACACACTTCCACCAGGACCCATACCAACCACACACTTCCACCAGGGCCCAAGCCACTCACACACTTCCAGCAGGGCCCATACCACTCACACGCTTCCACCAGGACCCATACCACTCACACGCTTCCACCAAGGCCCATGCCACTCACACGCTTCCACCAGGGCCCATACCACTCACACGCTTCCACCAGGACCCATACCACTCACACGCTTCCACCAGGACCCATACCACTCACACACTTCCACCAAGACCCATGCCACCCACACACTTCCACCAGGGCCCATACCACTCACACACTTCCACCAGGACCCATGCCACCCACACACTTCCACCAGGACCCATATCACTCACACACTTCCACCAGGGCCCATACCACTCACACACTTCCACCAGGACCCATGCCACCCACACACTTCCACCAGGGCCCATACCACTCACACACTTCCACCAGGACCCATACCACTCACACACTTCCACCAGGACCCATACCACCCACACACTTCCACCAGGGCCCAAGCCACTCACACGCTTCCACCAGGGCCCATACCACTCACACACTTCCACCAGGACCCATACCACCCACACACTTCCACCAGGACCCATGCCACTCACACACTTCCACCAGGGCCCATACCACTCACACGCTTCCACCAGGACCCATACCACTCACACATTCCACCAGGACCCATACCACTCACACACTTCCACCAAGACCCATGCCACCCACACACTTCCACCAGGGCCCATACCACTCACACACTTCCAACAGGACCCATGCCACCCACACACTTCCACCAGGACCCATATCACTCACACACTTCCACCAGGACCCATACCACTCACACACTTCCACCAGGACCCATGCCGCCAACACACTTTCACCAGGGCCCATACCACTCACACGCTTCCACCAGGACACATACCACTCACACGCTTCTACCAGGACCCATGCCACCCATACACTTCCAACAGGACCCATGCCACTCACACGCTTCCACCAGGGCCCATACCACTCACACACTTCCACCAGGACCCATACCACTCACACACTTCCACCAGGGCCCATACCACTCACACACTTCCACAAGGAGCCATGCCACCCACACACTTCCACCAGGACCCATATCAATCACACACTTCCACCAGGGCCCATACCACTCACACACTTCCACCAGGACCCATGCCACCCACACACTTCCACCAGGGCCCATACCACTCACACGCTTCCACCAGGACACATACCACTCACACGCTTCCACCAGGACCCATGCCACCCATACACTTCCACCAGGGCCCAAGCCACTCACACGCTTCCACCAGGGCCCATACCACTCACACACTTCCACCAGGACCCATACCACCCACACACTTCCACCAGGACCCATGCCACTCACACACTTCCACCATGGGCCATACCACTCACACGCT